GTCGGTTCCGACCCATAGAGACCCTGTGTAGGGTTTCTGAAGAGTGGCTGGTGAGCTTGAACTGCCAGCCTTGTGGTTCAAATGACTTTGCAGTCCAGCGCATTAACCCACAGCCCCACATCAGGAATGTATATATGAGAGAGAGAACAATTATAATGTGCCCAATTACTTTATATACAGAATATTTAATTTGCTTTCAACATCTCTGTGAAGCCAATGGTATGAGTATTATCTCCATTTTACAGATGAGGAAGTGAAGGCTCACACATCAGTGGTTTGTCCTGGGCCACACAGCTAGCAGGTGATGGCTCCGGGGCTGGGACCCAGGGCTGCCTGACTGCTCAGCTATGTTTTCGCTGAATCCTGTGTCACACTGCCTGTTTCACAACCTCGAATTGCTAGATGATGAAATGTAACATCAGAGATGGCTCACTGGAGGAAAGTTGAGACAAGTGATTTGGTTTGCTGTAGAACCTGAGAATTGCATGCATGTCTCTGGAAGGAAGTGTTCTTGTCTCTTGCAGTTCTGTTTCTGATGAGCTGAGGCATCTGCATGATATTAGAAAGTAAAACACAGACCGAAAGTCAAAATATTATGTGTTCCTGGCCAAACCGCTAAAGACAAGATAAATGAGACCTTCTGGATTGTGCCAGTGTTGAGGAATGCCTGCCCTGACAAGCTTGTCGATTGTGTCACACACAAACGGAGATGACCCCATGTTCTCAGGAAACTTGTTCTGGACAGATGCGATGGTAGCAGTCAGGCAATCAGAAGACTTAGGAAATGATTTCTGAAGTTTTAGAAACTGCTGGCTGTTCTGTATGTATGTGGGTGCCCTAGTGGCACAGTTGGTTGAGCATTGGACTGCTAACCGAAAGGTCAACAGTTTGGACACAGATGCTGAGGCAGTGTATTTCGGTAAAGATTTACAGCCTCCAAAACCTAGTGAGGCAGTTCTACTCTGTCTTCCTATAGGGTCTCTGAGTCCGACTCTACAGCAGTGGGTATTCTGCATGTTTTATGAAGACCAGCTACAGGGCCATTTACTGTAAGAGCCTGCCTAGTTGTATGCTTGCCTAGAAAGTAGTATCTGTATTTGACAATGCCACCGAGACTGGACATCTAGCTCAGGGCCACCTTCTGACCAGTGCTTATAGAAGTTTATTACCTGGTATCCGGGTACCGTACTTTGGTTGACTGGGCAGGCAGGGGATGGTGTGCTAGGGACCGAAGTCCTGAGTCATATCAAGACTGGACAGGTTCAGGTCGAACTTTGAATTAGAATGAAAACTTTGAATTTTAGATCCCAAAGATTGTCTAATTTCTATCTACCTCTAATTCCACAGCCTTACAAGGAGTTCTGGTAGCACAGTGGTTACAAGTCAGACTGCTAACCTCAAGGTCAACAGTCCAAAACTGCCTTTTGTTCCATGGGAGAAAGATGAGGCTTTCTGCTCCAGTAAAGAGTTATAGCCTTGCAAACCCTATACAGGGTTGCTACGAGTTGGAAAAGACTCCATGGCACATAATCACCACCACCACAGCCTTACAGTGTGAATGCTGGAAGGGAAGAGTAAAAAAACTCAACTGAAGTAGCATCCTACAGTTTTTGGCTGAAGGGAAAAGAGATTAAGTTGGGGAAGTGAATTACTTTTGATGTTAACAAACCTGCATTGGGTACCCTTCCTGAGTCAGGCTCTGTCTTAGGCAATGGGAGCCCAGGAAAAATCTTTGAATTTGGATGTTGTCTCCAGTGTAAAACATACATGACCATCAGTACTGATGGTTGGTGTTTCCTTTGTTCATGTGTGGAGTATGGACTGTAGAAAGACGTGTTGTTGTTGAGTGTCATCAAGTCAGTTCTGACACAAAAAATGTTGATTAATATTAAAATCTTTTATATACTTGAAGTGACTTT